CCTTGCTTCAGGCCCCCAGGCACTTTCCCCCACCTCAGCCACCAGCCATGTGTAGAAAACCAAAAATCCCATGGGAAAGTCTCAGGCCAACCTTAGCCAGTCCATTCTCCTCTTTGCAATGATCTGCAGAAAGAGATTCATGACCACGATAACATTCTGGGCGCATTTAACCCTTTCATTACTCCTAAGGGTAGGTTTGCCCACAAGATTTTGGTTGTATCTGGTTGGAATACCAGGATGCAGAAAGAGTTTGGTCTTCAGGTGAGCAGCAATCCTCACACCAGAGATACTAGAGTTCCCTGAACACCCCAGAGTCAGATTATTTCCACCCTTGAGGGCTAGCCTTGGATTAGGTAAGAATAGGGTTCAAGCCCCACCTCTGACACAGCCTATCTATGTGGCCACAGGCAGGTTTCTTAAACTCTTCATGCCCCCATGTAATTAGTTCTTTAAGACTCTGACTTACAGATGAGTTGCCCATCTGTATCAGTGGAAAGATAATTCATACCAAGAGATAGATGAAATCACAGGTCTAGACCATCAAAAAAGAAAAGACACACTGAGTCCATTGAACCAATTATTCAATACGGCTTGGTGATAGGGAAGGTCATGGTATGTCTACAAACTATACTGAATGGATAAGCACATGACCCCCATGTCCAGGCCTGAAAGAAATAGGCAGATAGATAGAACAGTAACTAGAACCCTGGACCTTGAGTCAGGAAGGCCTGAGTTCAAATCCAGCCTCAGATATTAACTAACTGCATGACCCTGGGCAAGACTCTGAACCTCTGTCTGCCTCAATTTCTTCATCTATAAAATGGGGATAATAATAGCTTCTACTTCTCATGATTGTTGCAAAGATAAAATGAGTTAACATCTGTAAAGTATTTTGTAAACCTCAAAGCACTACATAAATTGTAGTTATCATTATTAAATAGCCATCAGGTCTGAGAGAAGTATATGCCTAATTTTTTATCCCTTTCCTGTTTGATAGTCATAAAGTTGTGTGTCTCTAGGGCTACTGAGTTTTGTCTATTTTCTGAATATGGGGGGCAGGGTAGGTATTGGCCATGATGGAAGGTGGTGAGGATGGTGTATATGAATGAGACTGTGCAGGTGAGCATTTCTGGGGGTACTCATAACTTTAAGTTAGTGGCTCCTTATTTGTCAAAACTTCAAGAAGCTCTGATCCTTCCCCATAGGGACCCCTTTCACCAGTCTGAATCAAAACCCTTCCAAGTCTTGGTAGATGGTCAGTCAACGAGTGTTTATGAAGGATTTACTAAAAGTCAGATACTGCTATGTAGCCGGGATACAAAGAAGGGTAAAAATACAGTCCCTTTCACTCAAAAAACTTAGATCTGTATCAAGGAGACAATAGGGCAAATAACCATAGACGTACAAGAAAAATGGCTTGTGAATGGGATGTGATCTTGTTTTTATATTTTTCAGTCCCAAATTCTCCCCCTCCTTCCACTTCCCCCCCCACCCAATGAGAAGGTAAGAAATACGATACCCATTACTGATATGAAGTCATGCAAAACATATTTCCACATTAGCCATGTTGCAAAAAAAAAAAAAAAAGTAGAAAAAATATGCCAAAGGTAATCTTAGAAGAAGATACTGGGGAGGGGAAGAACTGAGGAAAGTATTGAATTGGAGAATTGGTATGGTTGAAATATCCATCATCCTGTAGTCAACCAGCTGATGACATTCTCCAAACATAGCCAGGATTGTCCTTGGGTGAAGATCCATTAGATAGGGCCCACGTTCAAGACTTTTCCAGCTTAGTAGGACCTATCAGAACTCAATGCTTAGCACAATAAGCACTTAATAAATGCTTATTAACCTGCCTTAACTTTGAAAACCCAAGGTCGACTCATTAGGGAATGACTGAATTGCTATGGGACATAAATGTGTTGGAGTCATACCATATAGTAAGAAATGCTGGGAAGAGGTAGTCCTGGTGTAGCAAAGAAAGTTGACCTCAGAGTCAGGAACACCTGGATTCAGGTCTCTTTTCTGACACATACTGGATCAGACCTTAGAGGCTCTATTTTGTAGTTGTTGGGTTGTGTCTGACTCCTCATGACCTCGTTTGAGGTTTTCTTGGCAAAGATACTGGAGCAGTTTGCCATTTCCTTCTCCAGCTCCTTTTCACAAATGAGGAAACTGAGGCAAACAGGGGTTAGTGACTCTTTGTGACACTGTTTTTGGGGTTTTCTTGGCAAAGATACTGGAGTGGTTTGCTGTTTCCTTCTCCAGCTCATTTAACCAATGAGGAACTGAAGCAAACGGCAAATGGACTCACACAGCCAGTAAGGGTCTGAGGCTGTATTTGAACTCAGGTCTTCCTAACTCTAGGGCTGGTGCTCTATCCATTGCACCACCTAGAGGTTGTATAATACTGGGTAAATGACAATCTCTCAATGCTTCCAGGCAAGTCTCTAAGGCTCAGATTTGCAGAACAGGTGCCCAGTTGTACTGAGGGAGGGAGTTTCTCGGGCAGAGCTCCCTACACCAATAGAATCACAGGTCTGGTTAGGAAAAAAATATACAAATATATATATATAGATATAGATATATAGATAGATAGATAGATATAGATAGGTATATATATAAAGTAGGAATTCAGAGAAATATGGGAAGATTTACAAAAGCGGGGGGGCAGGTCCCACACAATAACTACAACAGTGTAAATGAGAAAAAAAAATCACCAGGAGGAAGTTGAACTCTGAGTAATTGAAAAACCACTAATGGTTCCAGAGAAAATATGATGAAACAAAGTCCATCTAGTTCCACTTGGCCAGGAGGGCAGAATGTCACACAGATCGTCTGGTGAAGTCACTTGTATTGAATGTTTTAGTTTAACTGTTCTTCTCTGCTGCAAGGAAAGTTTCTGTTTGAGGAGGTCAAGAGGAAGAGATGAGTATTTCCAGAAATGACAATAATAGAAAAATAAAGGGAATCGATAAAACTTATTTTTTATTTTATTTTCATTTATTTGTTTTTTATTATTTTCATTTGTTTGATTATTTATTTTAAAAGAAAAAAAAGTAAAGAACATGAAAGGCCACTTTCACACCACATACAGCAAGGTAACAGAAGATGGCTTCAGTAGAGTCACGGCTCCTTTTCACCAACCTGTCCCAGGCATTCGAGGCCCCCTGCAGTCTGACTCCACTCTCCCTCTGCCTCTCTCTACTCCATTCAAGCAGGAGAACTCCCTATCTCTTGTATACATTCAGGGTTTTGCTGGCTCTGTGAATGTGCTCCTGCCTCCTTTCTATATTGCTTGGTTGTCCCATCTTCTCTCATCTCTGGACCTTTGCTCCTTCCTCCTTTCCATATCCCATATTTCCCTTCCCCTCTCCCATGTCATCTCTCTTAAATCCTCTCCCTCCCTTCTAGAGCCAACTAGAGTATTATCGTCTCCTCCATGAAGTCTTCCTGGACACCCCCTGAAGCTGAAAGCGTTCTCTCTCTCCTTTTTCTTTTTTTTTTGTGAGGCAATTGGGGTTACTTGCCCAGGGTCACACAGCTAGTGAGTGTTATGTGTCTGAGGCCGGATTTGAACTCAGGTTCTCCTGACTCCAGGGCCGGTGCTCTATCCACTGCGCCACCAAGCTGCCCTTCTCCTCACATTTCTCATAGCACCTTCATGGATCTCCCCTTCTGGCTTATCCAAGTTCTCTTATTTGTGCATGTGTCTTAGGATCACAAATTTTGGGCTGGAAAGGACCTAAGAGACTGAGTCCGACCCCTTCCCATTTTACAGATGAGAAAACTGAGGCCCAGGGTCACAGATGTCTGAAACAGGATTTGAACCCATGTCCTCCTGACTCTTAAGATCAGGGTCCCATCTGCCATACCACACTGCCTCTCTATTAGATTGCGAGTGTCTTGAGAATAAGGGCTGTGTTGTACACATACTTGCATCCCCGGCCTTTGGTATATTCCTTTGCACACAGTAGGCACCTAATGTTTGCTGTCAAGTGTCCTGCTCTTCATTTTCACCTGTTGAAATCCTACCTACCCTTCAAGGTCCAGCTCTAAAAGCTTCCTCTTCCTAGGAGCCTTCTTTCATCCTCCAGCTGGAAATGTTTCCTTCTTCAGTCCTGATGTAATTCTTTATTTCTACCCCTTTTGAGCCCTTCTGTTTTGTATTAGAGTTATTTAGGTACTAGAATATAAGATTTTTGAGGACAGGACTGTGTGTTATTCATCTCTGTACCCCCAACACTGGTCTGCACAAACTATCCGCGTGATGCATGTTGGTTGTTATGTTAGAATGTAAGCTTCTTGAGGGTAAGGATTGTGACATTTTTGTCTTTGTATTTACAGTGCCTGGCCCATGGTAGTCAGATGAATAAATACGTGTTGATTGGTTGAAAGACTACAGCATCAGACTGGAATTTAAAGGGTCTGAGGGCCAGTCTTCTGCTGACTCTTGACTCAATAGTCTTGGACCAAAAACCATCCCTGTGCTTCAGTCAGAGCTTACCCAAGATCTGGGCATTTTTAGATGCCTCAATTGGGGGTTGGGTGGTGCAGAAGGGAGGGAGTGGTAGATGCAGGGAGAGATATTATGAGGACTAAAGAGTATAACAAGAAGCGTTGTGATATATCAGGAGAGGGTTAGCCTTGAAATCCGGAAAGCCCTGGGCTCAAGTCCTGCCTCTGACAAACACTGGCTGTGTGACCCTGGGCAAGCCTTGTCACCTCTCAGTGTCCCCAAGCAGCTCTCTAAAACGGCAAATTTCAAGGGAGTTTCCAGTCTGCATTGATGGAGACTTTCCATTAATAGGAGTTCCTATACTGATGAAATCGCAGGTCAGAACTCCAAAATTTTAAAGAGCATAACCTCCCAAGAAGGCAGCGGGTCAAATGTCAAGGATTATCCTATCAGTGGGATTATGTGCAGCGAGCAGTTTCCAGATGGCTTGCTTCCCTGGTCATGTTGTTCCCCAGCTCATACGCATGTGTTCCTCTTTCAGAGTGATGTTGGACTCAGTAACCCACAGCGCCTTCCTACCCAACGCGTCCTTCTGTGACCCCCTGATGTCGTGGACAGACTTGTTTGGGACTGAAGAATACTACCCTGGCTTTGAACATCAAACAGGTATGTTAAGGCGAGGAAGCCACGTCAAACCTAGGGTTTGGAGGCCTTGAAATTCACCTCAATTACTTTCTTGGCTGATCAATGTCACTGGGGGGCTTCTGCCCTCCACCCAAGAGGAAGGAGTGTCTCTGCGTGATTACAGCAAAGAACCAGGGGAAATCAGAGGATCGTAGATGCTGAATTAAGAGAGATCATAAAGGCCATCTAGTCCAATCCCACCATTTTTTTTTTATGAAAGAGACAAAATACTTTTAATTTGTGAAAGAAGCCCTTTTATTTATTTTTTATTTAGTTAGTTAGTTAGTTAGTTAGTTAGTTAGTTGTTTGTTTTTTGGTGAGGCAATTGGGGTTAAGTGACTTGCCCAGAGCCACACAGCTAGTAAGTGTTATGCGTCCGAGGCCAGACTTGAACTCAGATCCTCCTGACTTCAAGGCCAGAGCTCCATCCACTTCAAAGAAGTCCTTTTAAATAAAACTGCTGCATCTTTTACTGGCAAGTAGTTCTAGCAATGGAGGAGGCCATCTGCTTTTCCATACCCTTGCATGCTTTGTCATTTATTTATTTTTATTACTCCTTACTACCAGGCCACCAGGTGGTTGGGGAATTTCTATATAGTTGGACCTTCAAGATGGTGCAAAATGATTGTGGTTCCTATTTTTCACTCTCGAGATTTCCTAAAAATGCCTGGAAGTACACCTGTCAAAACAAACCCAGGAACTATGCAAACAAAATTATTTTTTAAAGAAACCTTTTTATACAAACAAAATCAGATTTAAATAATTGGAGAGGTAGTAAGTGGTCATGGGTAGGCAGGGCCAACATAATAAAGATGACAATTTTATCCAACCCCACCATTTTACAAATTAAGGAAAGATAAGCCCAAAGCGGTTAAACGATTTGCTAGAGATTAAACTCAGGTCCTCTTTCTCCAAATCCAGCACGCTTTTCGCTATACCCCTACACTGCTCAAGCTATAGTATTTAGCACTACTGACCTGCTGAGAAATAAGGGGAGGAAGGGAACAAGCATTATTAAATGCCTAACATGTGCCAGGTACTGTACTGAGTACTTTTACAAATATTATCTCATTTGATCCTCACAACAATTATTACCTCCAGTTGAGGAAACTGAGGAAGACAGAGGATAAATGACTTGCTTAGGATCATATAGCTCGTAAGTATATGGACCAGGATTTGAATTCAGGTCTTCCTTACTGCAGGCCCAGTGCTCTATGGCACCACCTTGTGGCTAAAAGGGTTAGAACATGCCACTTGTTCTATGGCACTGTGTTGTAAGCATAAGATCCCTCACCAGCTTTCCAGGACTAAGCCTAGCGAATGCCGTACTTTTTTAAAGTCCTGATTTTAATTTGCCCGACCAAGCTGACAGGGCTTTTGGTGGCTGCAGCAGGCGATGATGCTGTCCTAGGACTGTCAGAACCATACCCCCCACACCCCCGTATACGTAGAGCCAACGGGGCAAGAAGGCGACTGAGAGCTGGCTAGCTCCCTGTGCTCTGCTGACATGGACTCAGTAGAGCCACACAAGCAACTGCTACGTCAGCAGAAGAACCGTATTCTCACGGACAAGAAGCCCTGTAGCATCTACCAAATACAAGGGACCCAAGCACCTTCTGGTAAGTGGCCTTTTCTGAATATCCAAAGCCAGATCTACTTGTAAGATCGGAGAAGCCTCCAAGACTATGTAGTCTAACCTCCTCATTTTATAGCTGAAGAAACTGAGGTCTGTGAAGGGAAGCATGACTTAGCCAAGATCATGCAGAAAGTAAGGAGGGAAGCTGAGATTTGAACCCAGGACTTCTGACTCCCAAGGCTCTTTCCACTGCACCACATTGTCTCTTCAAATAAACTTCACAGGTTATTATTCTGGATGGTCTTACACAAAGACAGCTGGAAAATTTCATCACGTCACCTTGCCTTAAAATTCTGGGACAGGATGTTAGGCAGAATCAGTTCATCAGGAAGCATTTATGAAGCTACTATATGCCAACCACCATGCTAAGTGGTAGGGATACAAAGAAAGGCAAAAACATGGTCTCCACCCTCAAGAAGCTCATGTTCTAATCAGGGAGACTGGCAAGTAACCATATATACACAAGATAAATAGAGAATAGATGGAAGACAACCTAAGAAGCAAAGGTGTTAGGAGCTGGGGGGCCTGGGGGAGGCCTCCTGCAGGCGGGATTTGAACTGAATCTTGAAGGAAGCCAGAGAAACCAAGAGGCTGAGCTGAGGAGGGAGAGCAATCAGTGCAAAGCCTGGGTAAAAGATGGGAAGAATGGTAAGTAGACCGATTGTAGAGTGAATAATGTAATATAGAACGACTGGAAATACAGGGAGGGGTTAGGTTGTAAAGTGTTCTAGAAGCCAGAGAAGAGGAATGAGTTGTGGGGTAGGGAGAGAAATTAGTGGTGGTGATTTTGAGATGCCTCCAGTACATCCAGTTCAAGATGTCCAAAAGGCAGCTGGTGATGGACTCTAGCTTACTGAAGAGAGGAAGTCTATTATATCATTTACAGAGAGACCATAATTGAACCCTTAGGAACCTAGGAGGTCACTAAGGGAGATGATATAGAAAGGGGTTATCCTTTCAACAATGCAGCTCAGAAAGTAGTGTCAGTTCCAGAGGGAAGAAAATGAAGATCTGTCTGAAGTGGCTATATGCTTCAGTTTCCCCATCTGTAAAATGAGAGGGTTCATGGAATCGCAGAACCCCAAACTTGGAAAGGACCTAAAAGGTCATTGGAATTGGTGGGCTATTTAGAGCCACAACCTCACTTGTGTCTATGCATAGATTGGCAGGGGGAGGGGAGAGGGGAAGAAGGAAATAACAGCTGTGTGATCTATTTTCTGAGTGTGGCAGTAAGGCAGGCATTAGCCACGGATGGAAGGCAGCAAGAGCGCTATGAATGGCTGAGCTTGGGTAAGCAAGCGTGTCTGTAAATGTGATGTAAATAAGCAAGTTGGAATTCAGAGGTAGGTTCACATCCATACCCCAAAACTCAAGCTCGTTGGAGGTGCCTATCGAACCTAATTCCGATCTCTTATTCAGCCCATGACAACATCCTTTTCTGGGCTATCCTAGCCCCTCCATCCCTGCCACTCCAGAGGTGACAGAATCCGGGCTAACCACACGGCCCCTATGCTGTGATTCTGCAGCAATTTGGGGGTCCAAAGGGAGCTCCCTGGGTTGTTGTCAGGGTCAAATGAGATCGTGTTTGTGAAACTCTATATAAATACTAGCTATTGTTATTATTAGAAACTGTGCCATACCGTCAAAGGAGCAATTGGAGGAACTGGGGGCGTTTAACCTCAGCAGCAAAGACTTTGCAGGGGCATGGGAGCTGTCTTCAAGGCTCTGAAGTAGGACAGCTAGGTGACGCAGTGGATAGAGCTCTGGCCTTGGAGTCAGGAGGACCCGAGTTCAAATCCAGCCTCAGACACAAAACACTCACTAGCTGTGTGACTCTGAGCAAGTCACTTAACCCCACTGCCTCATCAAAAAAAAAAGGGGGGGGGTCTGAAGAGCTGCCCTGTAGAAGGGTTAGATTTACTGTCTGGTCCTGGAGAGCAGAATTAGGAACAATAAGTAGGATTTGCTAAAAAGCAGATTTAGGCTTAATGTCAGGAAAACCTTGTTAATAAAGAGATCTAACAGTGGAATGGGCTGTCTGGAGAGGTTCTATCTCCCTGGAGGTCTTCAAGCAGGGGCTGGATGGTCTGTTACTGAATCCGTTAAAGGGGATTCCTGCCCCAGTGTGGTTTGGCTGTGTGGACACAGAGGTAAGTGCTAGTATCCCCATTTTGCAGATGCAGAAACTGAGGCAGAAGCAGATAAGTCACTTGCCCAGGGTCACACAGCTAGTGAGTGACTGAAGCAGGATTTAAACTCAGGTCTTCCCGACTCCAGGTCCAGCACTGTATCCACTGCGCCACCTAGTGGCCTCCTCTACCGTCTTAGTCACCCTTCTCTGGACAAATTTCAGCTTAGCGATGTCCTTCCTAAAATGCAGCAGCAAAATTGAACATGATATTCCAGATTGGTATTACCCAGTAGAATGTAAGCTCATGAGGGCAAGGACTGTGCAGGATTTTTTTTTCTTACTTTCTATTCCCTGCTCCTAGCCCTGTAACTTGCTCCTAGTAGAGCAAGTCTAACACTTGGTAAATATTTGCTGAATAGAAATAATTAGATTGCATTGACTAGGGCTACAGCAGGACTATTATCTCTCTTGGTACAACTAAATGTCCAATTCAACAATTTGGGACTAAATGATCTCTTTAGACCCAGTTCTTAAATTCTATGGTGGATTGAAGCAGTTAAAATTCTATGGTGGGTTGAGGTAAAATGGATAGAGTACTGGCTCTAGAGTCAAAGGTTCTGAGTTCAAATTCCACTTCTAGTGATCACTACCTGGGTGACCTTGGGCAAGTCCTTTAATCTCCCTGAGCCTCAGTTTCTTCATCTGTAAAATGAGAAAGCAGGGCTTAGATGACTTCTAAATCCATGATCCCATGATGACGAGAAAGGCTTAATTCATTCACCCAGAGTCATCAGGGAGCCCTCAGAGTAGCCTCTCTCACCAAGAAAGTCACCAATCACTCAAAAAGAAACAAAGTTTCCACCTTGTCTCTCTCTGCCACACTGGACTTTCTATCTAGGTCCTTTGAATTTTGATGCCTCCTGGCGAAACTACCTGGGGTGAGGAAGGGAAGTGATTCTTGGTGAATGCTGGCTCTTCAACTTTCCTCTTGGCGTTGAGTAAGCGTGTTTGGTCCTTTACTGCAGATATGTCTGCAGATGCTAAAGGCCCCAGTTTCCCCATCTGTACAATGACCCCAATCTATAAAATTACATTTTACTCACTCCTCCAAACCCCGTAGACCTCTCCCATTTCACAGGGGGAGAAAGTCTGGGAGACATATTTAAGATGTGGAAAAAAAAAAAAAAAGCAAGCATCTTAGCTGGGATTGTTGCC